CAGACAGCACAGCTCCTGTGAGGGAAGAAAGACTGGAGATTTCTGTCCACTTTCCAAAGTATTTCTGTCCACTTTCCCCTCCTGTAGGGTAAAGCATCACTATTTGTTCTCTGCCCCTGCTGTGTTCAGGAACTAGTCTTAGGGACAGTAGGAGGAAGACCTGCTCTTCATCCACTACTAATAACTACAACATGGCTTCAGCAACCTTGCACAGGTTTAACCACACTATGCATATTCCCATCTTTTCTAAGTGTTTGGCAATTTTCCTACAGCTCAACTCTATGTATATTTTTAATTACATTTCTTTAATATCTCTCACAGGAACAGTGAAGACAACAAAATTTAAACCTGATCCAAAACTTATGGACCACGGTCAGTCCAGCCCAGAAGATGTGGATATGTACAGTACTAGAAGCTGAGACAAATCTGCTCACAAATCTCTGCAGAGAGTTGCAGATAAGGGGGAGGGAAGAAGGGAAGGAATAATCCTTGCAATACATACACTGTGAGGTATAATTTAATCAGGTATTTTCTTATATCCCAATCTGTATTGTTGGCTTAGATTATTGTGTTCAATGAATATTCTGTTTCTCACTATGTATAAGCAGTGAGAATTCAGTGTTGTGAGACACTGAGAAAATGATACTTGTCAGTGTCTTCTCACAATGAGGTTTCTCTGTGCCAAGCTTCTTAATAAATGTCACTTCACACAGGATATTTTAAAATGTAAACATATCTCTGTACTTTGGCTCAGATGTTCATTGATCTGAAAGAAGAACATGGTGGATGGGGGTTGCAGAGGCTCCTTTGTCTTTTTTCTCTCAGCTCTGGAAAGAAGTGCAGCTTCTTGTTGGTCTGAGTACCATTAAAAGGGTGGTTGTTGTGTCTTATAAATAGTATTATCTTTAATGCTTGTATAAAGAACTCATCTTTTTTGCATTGCCAAATCATTTTTTGTTGTTTGCTTCTCTCACAAAGGTGAATGGAAACAAATTCTTGTCCTGTGTGCTTGTGTATTTAAATGTCACTCAAGTTGGGAAAAAACACAGCTAATCTCTAAAACATCCTTTATAGACTATGCATTAGTTTTCCCCTACTTCTAATACTTTTTAAGAACTGTATGCAAATCGCTTAATCCAGGAAACTGATACTGTTGGAATTTACATAGACTGCATCAGCAGTGTTCAGGAAGTGGGAAACTTGTAGTTTAAAGGTTTAAAGTGCTGACAAATACTAAAAATTCAGCAGTAATAGGCAGCCAGCTTTTCCTCCCAGAAGGTTGTATGCAATACCCATTGGTCTGAGCAGGATTTCTGTGAAATTCTCTTTTTCTATAAGAATGAAATCAGAAATTGATTGTTTCCTGAGATGGGACTTTCAAACACTGCTTTTATCATTGTGTACATCACTCCTCTTCATCCTCTATTTCTCTTCAAAACACTCTTACAAGGGTTGGAATAGATCCGATGGGCTTCCTTGAGCCAAGTGCAGCTGATGATCAGTACACAGTGCTAATCAGCCCCTTTCTCATGTCTGTATCTTCTGTAACCCTTCCCTAATGTATCAATTACAAAAGGACCCAATGCTGGTACTTTCTCCTTTGATCTGTTGAACTCTCTTACCTTTCAATTAATGAAAATAGGTGCTTTGTTGGAAAGCTAGGGGAGGGAAGCAAGAACAAACTATAGAGATAGTTTGGTTGGAAGACTTAGACCTGGTCAGAAATGCTGCTTCATATGAACTTCTCAGCACTGGGATACAAAAGGATTTTTGCTTCCCTTCCTTAGAAAAGATTTCTTAATCTGATTCCTTCTTCTAAGGCTGCTAATGCAAAGGAAGATGCCTAGTGGAGTACAGGCAAGCAGTGTTCCTAGTGTCACTGCAGGACTAGCAGGAGGTGTGAGGAGATACTGCACAAGGGAATGTACAGAAGGCAGAATGGATGCATGAGCAAGACAGCAAGTAAGGCTTTCATGGTGGTTCAGAAACAGAACTATTGATATTTTGGAATCTGAGTTTCGGGTGAAGTGGTGGACTTCGTTATACCGAGTCCAGAGGAAGGTGAATCAGTAAATGTGAAGTTTAAAGAAGGATTCTGTTAGTTGAGCTTGCCTGGGACAGCTGACTTAGAATGTAATGTGTTTGTTTCTTTAATGATCTCTTAAGGCCCAGGAAGCTGTCAGAATTCAGGCAGCAATCAGAGGTTGATAATCATCACACAGCTCCTGGACAAGACACATTTAGTGTTCCAGCACAGAGAGGAGTAGAAAATTAAATGGCTGGGCTTCATATACCATTTCCAGGGAAACAGATGAGGCCAAAAGGCAGGAAGTGAAAATGGTGAAGAAATTATAATTTTCAAGTGCAAGACTGGATGGCAGAAAACATATGATCTATCTCCCTTTGATCAGATTCTGGATAAAAACATAAAGGAAAACCCATCTGCTCAACTCTGAGATTCTAAGTTCTAGTTTATGTCCTTGACTGATACCACCACAACAAGCCATCAAGAGAGATAAGATGATGCAGGTTTGTGTGGATTTTATAGGGGTTTATTGTGGTGACATTTTTCAGTACATACTGAAGAACTACATAGAGGATTAGTCTTCTGGGAGCAGGGAGAGAAGCTCCCTTGGGGAGCTGGTAAGGAACAAACCTATCTGCCTTTTCCAGGCAAGGGAGGGCCTTAAAGATTGCCAGTGCTGACAGATGATCTGGTCCTTCCCATACTTAAAGAGCAGTGCCACTCAGATGTCATGATATAAATTGAAGTGTCTGGTCTGTAAAAGGTCCACTGGACTCCTTGGTGATGAGGCAGTCAAGAATTAGTTCATGCAAGCATTTGTATGAAAACTCCTAATTTTACCAGAAGTTTGATGCTGTAAAGGGACATGATACACAAAGCTGTCCCTAGGCTGTATTTCAGTCTCAAATTACTCCTTAGGGAGTAAAACTGTAATAAAACTATGTCAGAGTTAAATTGTCATTCAGACATATGTTAGATGCATTTTCTGGGACATAAAATTATTTTGCCTGCCCCCTTTGATGAGTGAGCAGTTCTGAAGCTCATAAAATGGTGTCCCTGTGCTGTGTTATTTCTTCTTGGTGGACAAAAGGGGTGAGCCAGCACAGGTTTAGCTTCTTCATCAGCTGGGATTTCTCTTTCTCTATAAGACAAGGTAATTCTTTTTTGTCTTCTACCAACAGTTTTTGTTTAATATACCCATACAGTTGAAAAGCTGGGACTAAAATTGGAGGCTTGGGTTTTGGCACGGAAACAGATGCAGCCAAACAAAATGGGACAAAATTAGTATAAGTTTTGTATCCTGTCCAGGTGTGTTCTCTGCTTTCAGAAAGACTGTAATCTCTCAGTTGGTATTTCTCTGTCCTGGAGCATAGATTTATAAGGAGTAAGAAATAATTTTTTAGTAAAACCTTGAGTATGCTGTAACAGTTCTTTGTTAACATGAATTTCTGTTGGAGTCAGTCAGTGTCCCATCCACCCTTGTGAGACACGTGATGGGAGACATTTCTAGAGGTACCAAAAAGATGCAGGTCATAGAGAGAAGTTTGGAGTGTTCATGCTGAAATGAAGGCAGCCCAAATCAGATCGCTCATGCACAAATACTGGAATGGTGGCTGTGAATCTTGATTACTCAGCTGCCATTTTGTGAAGTGGCCCTCTCCAGTTCAGGCATCAGAACCTCCAGGTTTCAGATGATACTCTGTAGGTGGCTTGTTCCAGTTAACTACAAGGACCTGTACCCACATCTCTGAATTCATGGTTTATAGTGAAGGTGCTGTGCCATGACTTTTAAAAAGCAAATTCAGATCTTCATTATGGCATGTTGTGAGACCTCGTTTTACATATATGTGCCTGACTTTTATCTCTTGGAAGATTTCAGACCCAGTATGCAAATGTGTTGAACAATGAGAAATTACCATAAATACACAGAAAAGTAGCATTGCAAGACATGTTTTGATTCATGTATAGTGAAACACTTTAAAATGCCTCTCAAATGTATCATTAATAGTGACTTAAAGCTTATTTCATGCTGCAGTAATACAAATAATGCAAAAAAAAAAAGAAGAAAGAATGTATACTGTAATTTTTATATTATGTAAGTTAAATATTTGTGAAAAACCCGATGTCTTAAAGAACTGACTCACATGATTATATTTTATAATATAGAAATAGTTTTTATTTAATGCATGTTTTGTTATTGATGATGGATTGCATTCAATAGAGAGATTTGGAACTTGTTGATATTCATTTTTTATTTACATAAAACTGATTGTGATACTTTATTTTGTTATATTGTTGTGAAGCACCTGAAAATAAAGGGTGATAAGATACTTTTTAAAAATTAAGTTTAACTTTTGTATGTTTTCTTATCTGTAGGGCAAATGGTCAACTCTTGTTTCTTTAAAGTACACTTTAAAAGTTACTTGGTAAACATGACTGAGTCATGCCTGTTTCACCAACACTGGGAAAAAAAACTTCACCCCTGAAGAACTGAAACATACATTCCTGGAAGAAATCATTGAAGTAATAATGCTCAGGATTCTTAAATTTGGAGAAGTGCTTCTGTTTTCCTGGTCATTTATTGGAAAGAATGTTGTAGCACAGAGCTTGGGAAGAAAAGAAGGCTTTTATCTATACTGGAGGAACAACGTTGTTAAAAGAATAAGGCAGATAGCAAAAATATATTCCTCAGTGTGGCTCCATGATAATCTAGGTAAAGTAATTTGCTAATCCAAGGGTTGTAATTAATGTAAACTGGTGTAAACTACAGAGTAACTACTTAAAAGAAAAATGGTGTGAAAAAGTAACATGGCTATTATTTTAATGGCAGATTATTGTTATGATTCTTGAATAAATTAGGAAATAGTGTAAAGATTTTTTTAATGCATCAGTATAGGTATCCTACAGTGAAAGTCTGGAGTATTTCTGAATCACATTAAGAAACGGAAAATGGATTTTAAACCTAAGAAGAAAGTGGGGTTCTACAAAGACTACACTTTTTAAAAGGACCATTAGAATGCACTAGATTGTGTGTAGATTTTATGTTAGATTCTAAGATGCAAAGCTCAGGTACGTGCTGATAGTACAAGCTACAGTCAAGAAAGACTAATCAAAACCATTCTAGGCGTTATTTTTAGCACAGTAGTGTTGCAGTCTTCATGCAGACCAGTGTACAAACCAAACTGCAATGCTAAGGAGAAGGAAATCTGAAAAGTTGGAAAATCTTGTTACAGTCATTTTTTTTATTGGAAGAAACTTCTTTATCTTTTTAGGTCTAATGGCCATATGTATTTTGTGTTGGAAAAAATGAGTCTATCAGTACATAGTAAGAAGTTTGAGGAGGAGAAGTAAAAGGAGAGGGCAATGAAAGTTTCCTTCCTGCCTCAGAAGTGGTGAAAGGGAGGCGTGTTTGGGAGGGCTGAGGTTACTGAAGGGCAGCAAACGCCCTTTTCCTCAAGGTGCAAGTAGTTTTTTGCCCTTTCATTTACGAGCTGTA